TCCCTCGAGGCTTCCTGAAAGTCACGCTGTTGGAGAAAGGTATGAAGTTTTCATTTGTTTTAATCGCCATAATCCGATACTTTAAACTGTCATCTAAACAGATAATGTCTATTTTGAGAAAGTTTTTATCTTCAAGTTCCCATCTGATTGTAAAACTCGATTGAAATCGAATTCCACCATGAAAGTCAGAGGATTTTTTATGGGTCACTGATCCGACCTGTTCCGACATGTTGAGCAGATGTTATAAAGCATTTTAAGTTTTATTCATATTATATAGCACGGTCAATCTTCCTGGAGTGATTTTGTTGTTCAAGATAAGGGATGCTAGTGGAGAGAGAAAATACTTAATTACAACGAGTAATTTAATGGAGCTTCCGTTAACCGTAAATAAAAGTAGTAACAACGTGTTTGAAATGTTCTTTTATTCGTTTTATATAGTATTATAGCATTGTTTGTTTAGATTTTTTCCCCTGGGGTGGGGTCTTTTTTGACACTTTTGATTGACCTTTCGTTTCCCACCCTGGGGAATTTGATCGAAAAATTTTAAAATTTGTCAAATCCCCACCCCTTGCCCGCACTCCCCCCCCCACGGGGTTTACATTGATAGGTGCATAATCTTCGTCTATAGTGCGACGACAGGCCGAAGTGAAAACAACGCGCTTACACTTTTGCTAAACTCGCTGTTTCTATAAATATATCATTAAAGATTCGGTCCACCAAAGTATAACGCCTCTTTTCTGGAAGCCGACATTCGGGTGTAAAACTAAAAATTATACAGCCCGTTGTCATGAATTGAGCCAAACTGTGAACGTAAAATAATTATATGTTACCTATCTTATCCTTTGCTTGAAATTTGCTTTTTTCTTTTTTTTTTTGTTTGTTTGTTGTTGTTTTTTTTTCATTATTCACTTTTGTATCTTATTTTATTATTATAATTTTTTTCACCCTCGACTTTTTCAGGTACTCACGTGCGTACTGGTAGCTACGCCCCTGGCCCGGGTTGCTCGAAGTATGGTTAGTGCTAACCAATAGTCTCTTGCATGGAAACCTATACATTTTGATACCTCTTAACCAACGGTTAGCGCTAACCAGGCTTCGAGCAACCGGCCCCTGGTCTTTGATCTGTCAACACTTCACTTTAAAATCAAGTTTCCAAATGGAATTCTAATTCGAAAATGTAACTCGAATCTTCACTCGAATCCAAACTTGAAAATCCAACTCTAAAATCCAACTCGAATCCTAACTCGAAATCCAAATAGTATATCGCGAGGACATGCCCCTTTCACAGCATGACTGGTCTTGAAAACAGGTACTGAAAAGAACACTCCTTAATTATGTATCGAATGAGAGAATTTCAGCCGTCAAAACACTTTAATGTTTTGATTTGGTGCGTCTTTAACTCTTTACTTCTTTGCCGATTAAGTTTGTTTTACCTTTTTTTGGCAGCAGGCAATGTTCATGTATAGTTTCGCTTTCATTGAAAATTGCTAGTTGCCGCTAAACATTTATAAGAGCCAAAATCCCGGGGAACAATGCAATGGTCAGCACTGTGGTTAACCGTGTGGAAAGTGATTTTGATTTTTCCTTATTCAAGAGTATCGTCAGTGGCTAAGCCAAGTGTATCACAAGCCAAATACCTTGATTATGAGATCGGAGCAAGCATTCACTTCAACATGCAGACGTTTAATGGAACCATGAAGTCGGGTGAGTGAGTTAATTTACTTTGCCGAAACGAACGAAGAGACTTGAAAGCGTATGAAAGGCCTTTCCCATTTCTTCACTCTCCCTTTTTTTCTCTAGCAACCTGCTACGCCGGCAGGGCTATCTGTCTGACTGCTTTCAGAAAGCCGGACAGGGTTAGAACTAACAATCACGGCGACATTTTTTTTAAGGACTGAAATACCTTGAATTTCATACGACGGCGTTTAGTCTTCATAATTAACGTCGATACGTGAGCTTACAGATCCATTAAGTTTTTTTAACAATGCCCTCTGATATTATTTACATCTAACAGGACACGTAGTTTCCCCAGATGCTTTCAACCCAACTAAACTGTCCACAGATCAATGGCTCCGGGCCGCGAAAAGTTTTGGTGCGAAATATGCTGTGCTCACACTCGATCACTTCAGTGGCTTCCTGCTTTGGCCTACGACAACAAATTACAGTTATTCCGTAAAGAGCAGTAATTGGAGAAACAAGACCGGAGATGTAGCTCTAGATTTCATTCAGTCTTGTGCAAAATATGGTATTAAACATGCTTTTTACTACAGTGTGAATAAAAACTGGTATATGAATGTCAGTAACCACAGGGCACCCAGTCCAGGAGCGCAGACAGTTTATAATCGTATTGTTGAACAACAAATACGAGAATTGTTAAATCCAAGCTCGAAGTATGCAAGTCCTTTTCTATTTTGGTTCGATGCTGGTATTGTTAGCGGAATCAGCCCCAATGTTGTCCCAATATTTCACTCTCTAGCCGAAAACATAATTTGTTTGAAGTGTCCAGCTTCTTCAGGGATTGCAGGAGCGCGATGGATTGGTAACGAGAGAGCTGTGGCGTCGTTGCCTCTTTGGTATGCAGTGCGCGATGGAGGATATAATGGTTAGTAAAATTAATCAGAAAGTCGCCTCCTTTTGTTGGCGCTGTGATTGATGGGAAAGTTCCAAGGTCCTCGTTACATCAGGGGAATAAAGAAGGCTATTTCCCAAGCGCCTTAAAGGTGTATTTACAGGCAATTTAATAAAGCCAGGTACGTATTGTAACAAGTTAGTGAGCAATTTTTCCGTGCAACACATGTCTAAGGACACCCATTTTCTTAATAGAACTATTATTTTTAGCTTTTGTTCATTCCAATTCATTCCTTCGTAAGAGATCAGTCCTATTTAAGGTGAATCCGTAGGGTGGAATTTTGTGGCGAACTGGTTTCTTATGACTGCCTCGACAACAATTATAATAGGTTCAAACCAAGAGACTATAAAGGGGACAGAGAGGGCATCCCCCATACACACCCTGTTCCATAGGTAATTCGTCTCGAGTTATTTTTAACACCAGAGATCTCAAGGGGGATTAGACAACAGCCAATCACATAGCGCGAATGTGTTCCGCGTGGATGACCCACGCTGAGAGCCACGCGTCCTTCACGAAATGACGCAGAACAAAATGGGGGAAGACGCGGAGAGCGATTTTGCTATTCCTTTTGTCGACGAAAACGACTACAGCGAGATTTCTGCGAAAGCTGTGTCAGCGAAACCGAAATTAAAAAAGAATCGCCCTTCCTCTCTTGTATAGAGCTAACAGTAGAGCAGGGAAATCCTTAACACACTGAATATTCTCTCAGGATCATTTATAATTTACAGTTTGAAGAGAGCAATTTCTGGTTTGATGTTTATTTTTTTCAGTCTTTATAGCGATTATTCCTACCCACTTACTTTGTCAATTGTAGGCGAACCCTCCTAAAGCTGAATTTCAAGGGACCATATTCAAGCTCAGAAAGAGAAATAAAATTTCGTCGTTGCTTATTTACGTCCTCCATAAAACGCGAAATTAGGCATTTTCACGTCGTAGTCGTGCAAAAACGGGAAAGAAATGAACAAAAAAGTGTGTTGCACGTGCGAAGTTGTTGTTTTGCTAATTAAACCTATTGTTTTTTTGACGTTCTAGTTGTCGTCCGCGTCGTTGGATCTTAAACTCCCTAAATTGTACAAACGACCGGTTTCAATAGACCGGCGAAATTTCTCATTTTATTAAAGCACTGAGGTTACGACAACTTCGAGTTAAACTGATTTCACGGGTTGTCAAAGAGTCCAGCGATTCCTTTTTCCCAGGTGAGCGCCGACTCATTTCGCTTCAATATTCAGGAATGCTCTCGATCTTTTTACGCTTTCATTGCCTCTCGCCCGACATGTTTTGCACGGCGTTTGGTCATGCGAAACCTCCACGAAACATCCACGCCTCGCGCGAGGTAACTTTATCCCGATTCTAAAAATAACTCGAGACGAATTACCTATGGAATAGGGTGTATATGGGGGACGCCCTCTCTGTCCCCTTTATAGTCTCTTGGTTCAAACACATTAAGCTAGACAACGTTAATGTTATTATACTGATTGTCGTTTCAGGGGATCCTTTAGGTGAGCAGTTCCGTCCTCCATTCTGTGATACTGTTATACGTGAACATAAATGGTTTTGGCTCCCACGCACAAGGAACAGAGTCAAAAATGTGAGTACACTCATTACTGAATATTTAACCAGCGTGGGACGGGGTTGTCACATGATACTTAACTTGAACCCGGATCCTTTCGGCTTGATCGAAGACGAGGATCTTCATGCCTATAAGGGGTTTGGTGAAGCTATTGGTCTGCTCTACAAGGATTTGATCATAACTCAGAAAAATGCGACACTAAAAATCGGTGTCGAGAAAGTGTGGAGAATACCCAGAATTCTCAATGTGGCAAACGGATCAGTGGTTGTAATGGAGGATGTGGCAAAGTTTGGTCAGTTAGTGAGAGAGTACCAGCTAAGATTCAACACTTCACATGGATGGGTTAATTATCCCGAATATGGAAGTACTATTGGACACAAGAGGATACATCCATTTCCCCAAGTGCTTCGAGGAAAACCTGTTTATGCTATCAGCTTCAAAATAGTGAAATTAGTCACAAGGGATCCGTCAATCACCATACGTGAAGTTTCGGTTTATGATTGGACTGAGGCAACAAGGAAGCGATACATTTGAAATGACATCTCGTCTCAGTGCAGATCAAAGGACAGTTACGTACTGTAGATAGATGAAGTAATGACAAGCAATAAGAAGTCATGTTATAAAAGGGTGACGTGTAGCCTCTGTACAGCCACCCCATCCCCTAAAATGAGGGAAGGCTTGGGCGCCTGTACACGGGCTATATGACGTGCGGGAGATTATTCAGTTAGTTATCGTTCCGTTATCACTGGCAAACAAAGTTTACCAGGCAATATCATTCCATATATCACTCTATATCTTCTCTATGTTTAAGGAGCGCTCCCTAAGGCCTGTTTCAAACGTCGTGCTACTGCCATGCTAAGTTGGCTCGACTGTAGCTCGACTGCAGCACGACTTGGTTTCAGACGTCGATTTTAATTCAGTCGAATAGAACGGCTGTTGCCGAAAACAAAACACAAAAATAAAGAAACGGTTTAACAAATTTTTAAATGTATTCTTATGTATTTTTAATTTATGAATTGAGTTCGGCAAGGCGGTAGCACGACGTTTGAAACCAAGTCGAGCTACTGACGTGCAGCTCACGGCAGTAGCACGACTTGGTTTCAAACGTCGCGCTGCTGCTGTGCTAAAGTCGAATTTAATTCGATCAATTGAGTTCGGCACGTAGCAAGACGTTTGAAACGGGCTTAAATTTCTATTTACATCAGTAGCTCGTTTATTATACGAATGTTGCCCTGATCGTTATTCATTTTAGTTTGTTCATATTTTACTTTTGTTTTATCTATTTACCTTCGCAGGCATTCAAATAGACTAGGGACTAACTGGGGGAGGGGAAGGGGGAACGGAGAGGATGGATTGCAACTCCATGCACCGGGGCAAAAGCAAATTGTTTGCGTTCAAATTCTCCAACGACGAGGCACTACAGTTGCTTATAAAATTCTAGACATGGAAAAAGCTATTTACAATAGTCGGATCACACACAGTGAAAAATTTAACGTGTTTATTCCACTCTATAAATTCACCAATCTTCAGTATTACAGCTTAAATAATACAAATTTTATGTAGAAAGGAAAAGAAAATGTAAAGACTGACTGTTTTGATAACAATAACAATATTTTAGCTATAAGTTCTCTTCACAAACTGACACCGCTGAATGAAGGACATAAGTGACAACAACACAAAAATAACCGTTCAAACTGTTCTTTTTTAAAAGAGTTTCGCTTGACTTTATGTAACGGTGTAAATGAATAAATGAGCAGGGGTTACTGTTTTTGTCGGGTTCAATTCTCAATGACGTCATAATGATCGTAATAATAACCATAAGCACCGTTATGACGCGTTTATTTTAAATTGGAGCATTGAAAAAAAACTGTTGGCAATTAACGACGCTTATGATAGACATAATCTTCATAACAGAGAAATTTATCGCTCCTTTATATGATTGAGTATGTCTGTGATAAGCCTGTCCCAGGCGTTCAGATAGTGGAAAGTGACGCGAAATGGGGGTGAAGACGAAAAAAATGTAGGAGAGGGCGAGGAGAAAAAGGAGAGAACTCGCGCCTTCTCTCCCCACCCGCCTCGCTGCGCCGTCACCACTATCTGAACGCCTGCAAAACGACAACAACAACTCTTAAAATTCTTATCGTCGTCGTTCCTGTCGATGTTCTTCGGCTCTTTGAATTGCTTTCGTGTGTTACAGTTCCGCGGAACCTGTCCTGTTACACGCTGAAAACTTTAGGCCATGTTCACTGGCTCATCCGGATGATTCTGGTGCAGGCACAAAGAGCGATCCGGCCGTACCATGAACAGCAACGGCACAGAAGTGGAAAAAGTCGTTCACACACATCGAACATCGTTCTGAGGCGGTCCGAATACCAGTTCATACTAGTGTGGCACAAAACCTATCCGATATGTGACGCCCCAACTTCGAGATCTGCATGGCACAGCTTTGCTCCGTTACAGAAATCGCGCCGGAGAAATCACCGTTGTTGTGTGTTAACAGAAGTCCTATCCGGTATAGTGTCTCGCTTGTCCCGCGTGGGGTGATTTTCACGCGCGCTCGCGTTTCGCTTGCTCTACTATCCCTGAGGAAAAATGGGGACTACTTGTAGTCTAAGTGTGAAAATTGCCTTGGCCCACATTAGTGCGCAATTCTGGCTTTGCCAAAAAATCAATATACTTTAAGTAATGGTCCAGACAAGAAGGAAAGAAGCAAACGCAATGAACGCGTCGGAATGCATAAAGGTGCTAACTTTACTGCTGTCTGTACTAAATTTCTGATTGGTTTAAACATCAAATTTTACCAAATCTTCGCAAAGCCGCTTGTATATTAATCTCGTCTGAGTCTAACTAACACAGAAATCCTATGTGAGGAACATGTAAATTGTAAACTTTTCTTGGCTATTGTTTGCAACTCTCATGATTTGTCG